CTCTCTCTCCTCTCTCCTCTCTCTCTCCTCTCTCCTCTCTCTCTCCTGTCTCCCTCTGTCTCCCTCTGTTTCTCTCTCCTCTTTGTCTCTCTCTGTCTCTCCTCTCTTTCTCTCTCCTCTCTCCCTCTGTCTCCATCTGTCTCCCTCTGTCTCTCTCTGTCTCTCTCTCCTCTCTCTCTGTCCTCTCTCTCCCTCTGTTTCCCTCTGTCTCTCTCTGTTTCTCTCTTCTCTCTGTCTCCCTCTGTCTCTCCTCTCTTTCTCTCTCCTCTCTCTCCCTCTCTCTCCCTCTGTCTCTCTCTCTCTCTCCTCTCTCTCTCCATCTTAGTTCCCCAGGTCTGAGCTTTTACCTTCCTGGATATGGAATCAGAAGACCTGAGTTCAAGTCCCTCCTCAGTCAATTAAGACTTAGATAACCCTGGGTGAACCATTTTCTCTCTGGACCTCAGTTTCCTCATGTATCATGTTAGGGGTTGGCCTAGATGGTCCCCTTCACCTCTCCGTCCTGTGACAGATCTCCAGGTCCTGACTTCCTAAAGTGGTTCATATGGGGTGGGGGGGACAGGGTATGGGGGATGGGAATCTGTGCTCCCCCTCCCCCACTTCCTGTGTAATGATCCCTGTACTCATCTAGCTTTGGCTCCTGACTCCACCTACCATTTATCTAGGCTCACCTGGCTGCCAGCTCTATTGGACAATTATCAGATTAAAGCCCAGGGGGTTGATAAGGACTCATAGCTTGGCGTTCTGACACAGCCAAACCAAGAGGCTGGATCCCCCCCCCCAGTGTATACTCTCAGTCACCCCTGCCGCAGCCCCTCAGGCCTCCCCTCTCCAATGTGGCACCATACCACGACCCCTGGATTTGGAGGACAAGGGTTCAATTCTTATCCTGCAGTTCACCACCTGTGTGATCTGGGACCAGTCCCCTCCCCGCTCTCAGCCTCAGCCCCTTATCTGTGAGATGCGTGGGCTGGCGGTCTCACAGGGTCATCCCCATTGGGGTCCCTCTCCCTTTGGCAGCAGGAACTACCTGGCCCCAGGAGGCCACACCTTGTTAATGAGTCCCTATTTCAGTGATGTGTCCAAGTATTCTAGGGCTCCATTCACCGTCCCTGTAACTTTCCAAAACAAAATACAGAAACACCCTCCCTCCCCATTTATTTAAATGTGAGGTCTTCCCCTATTTAGAATGCAAGCTTCGTGAGGGCAAGGACTGTCTTCAGTTTTATATATATGTTACTAGTCCTTTGGGGAAGCAAGGTGGCACAATGGATAGAATGCCTGGCCTGGAGTCAGGAAAATTCAGCCTGACACTTACTAGCTGTGTGACCCTGGGCAAGTCACTTGGCCCTGTTTGCCTCAGTTTCTCCATCTATAAAATGAGCAAGAGAAGGAAATGGCAAACCGTTCTAATATCTTTGCCATGAAAACCCCAAATGGGGTCACAAAGAGTGGGATGCTACTGAAAATGACTGAACAATGGCACCCACAAAATATAACCTCTTCTCTGCTATACATTCAACTCAACAAATATTCCCCAAAACCCCATGTGCAGAGAGCACTGCGCTAAATCCCCGAGGAAGAAGCCAGGTTTACCCAAGACCCCAGCTTGGCCTTTCGGAGCTCCGGTCTAGGCCAGTAGAAGGACAGTCCCTCTCCATCCACAGAAATAACCACGATGCCACAGAGCACATGGTCAGTTCCTATTTGCCCACCAAGGATCAGCTCTGCCCCTCACGGCCTCCGTGACCTTGGGCAAATGTCTTTCCTTTTCTGCGCCTCCAATTTCTCTCATCTGGACAGATGATCCTAAGGTCCCTCCTACCTCTAAATTCACGAACTTCTGAACCTTCAATAGGATTATCAGAGACTTGGCACCTTTGAGAAAAAACCAGGTTTCCATTAGGTCAAGGAGGCTGCGAAGTTCGAGGCTCCAGAGTACTGGGGAAACGCCCGAATCCCCAAAGTTCACAGCCCCATTACCTCATTCCTGCCTGATCACATTTCAAATAAGCAGAGCTCCCGCCCTCCACCCCCTGCTGGCTGATCCCTGTTTGCTGAGAAAACAACCCCAGACAATGGAGCATCTTATTTGGAGAAGGGATGCCGAGGGACTGAGCTCACCCTGGATCGACTGGTGGCTGGGAGCCAGCAATCAGGCGGGGCTGGAAAAATTCAGGAACGGAGCTCCAGGAATCACAGAACCTCAGAGCCTGAAGGACCCTCAGAGGCCATCTGGCCCAACCTCAATCTGACCTGGAGGCCCCTCCACAATATCCCCAACAAATGGTCCTTGAAGACCTCTGGGGACAGGGAGCTCACTACCTGTTGAGATAAGCTGGTCCAACATAGCTCTTAGCTATGTTAGATTTTCAGTAGTCTTTGGGAAGCTAGGTTGCCTAATGGCTAGCGCACGTGACTTCTAGTCAGAAGACTCGAGTTTGAATCTCACTTCAGACTTGACTGTACCTCTCTTAGACTCAGTTTTTCTTCTCTGCAAAGTGGGGACAGCAATCTCCCCTGCTAAAGCCCTTTGCAAACTTAAGAGGTGCTTCACTCATACCCATGGCTCTGGGCTCTGCCCTCGGGGGCCACGGTGCATACATCAGCTCGTGGGTCCATGCCAAAGGCCCTGCAAATACCCAAAGCTGGTTATTTCTTATCCATTCTAAACACTCCCAGTTTTGATTTTTTAAGCTAAAAAGAGGTCTGGGGTTCTTCTGTAAGGCACAAGTTAGCAATTCGAGGCTTTTCTGCCTCAGAGCTCACTCCGACAAAGCTCGCCGGCCTGTGAGGCAGATGTCTCTGTGAACTAGTGAGGGCCACTCAGGAAGACCAGGGACAGAAATGGGTAACAGGCGTTTTTTCTCTTTCTAGAATACTTTTTAAAATTTTATTTTGAGGGGAGGCAATTGGTGTTAAGTGACTTGCTCAGGGTCACACAGCTAGTAAGTATCTGAGGCTGAATTTGAACTCAGGCCCTTGTGACTCCAGGGTCAGTGCTCTATCCACTGTGCCACCTTGGTGCCCCCTAGAACATTTCTATTCACAGCAAGTGAATAGAGGCTCCACTCTATCCCACACCTAAATATGAAGAGTCACAGGCCCTCCAACAGGTACCTCAAATGCAACAACTCATTCTCTCTCCCCCTAGAGTTCCCCCTTTCTATAGAGTACACCAGCATCCTTCCAGCCTCCCAGGGTCACTGAGTCATTCTTAGACTTTGCCCCCCACCCATATCCTATTGGGAACTGTCTTCTCAGGTCAGTAACCTATTTTGCATCCTCTTTTCTTTTTTTTTTTAATTTTTAAAATTTTATTTTTAAATTTTTAGGCAATTGGGGTTAAGTGACTTGCCCAGGGTCACACAGCTAGTTAAGTGTCAAGTGTTTGGCCTGAGGCCAGATTTGAACTCAGGTCCTCCTGACTTCAGGGCCAGTGCTCTATCCACTGCACCACCTAGCTGCCCCCTGCATCCTCTTTTCTCCCCTCACACTGGCCTCTAGTCTAGTTGATCCTTGGCCCTCCCTGTCTGGGCTGTCATACATGCACAGGAGTCCTGGGGAAGGAGGACCCCCTCCCAACTTCTAGCAGTTATTTGACCTGCTGCCCTCCCAAATCCATAGGGGTGCCAGGACTCCCAGAATCTCTGGGCCTTGGTCTAGTGCGCCCATACAACCAGGCCCCACCAAAGAGTCACACAATTTTGCTGTCCCTCCAGAGGAGTGGTTCTTCGCCTTCTTTATTTTCTGGACCCCTTGGCAGCCTGTGGAGCCCTTTTCAGCTATAGGTTGTTTTTGGTTTTTTTAGTCATAATTGAAGGACATGCTAAGTTTCAGAGAGAAGTTAGTGAAAATAAAAATAATTTTTTCCCCCATTCCAGTTCAGATACCACTTGAAATCCACTCATGGTCCCATGGACCCCAAATTAAGAGCTTCCAAACGAAAGAGAGTGATTTGTCAATGAATTAGATAAGGGAGGGGTGAGGTTTTAGCTGGGACCTAGAAGAAGCCGGGGAGGTCAGTAATCAGAGAGGAAGAGGAAGAGTGTCCCAGGCATGGGGGACGACAGCCCGAGAAAATGCCCTGGGCTCAGAGATGGAGGGCGGAGTTCTGGAACAGCCAGGAGGCCAGGGTCACTGGATGGAAGTGTAAGTGTTGGGGAGTAAGGTGTGAGAAAACCGGATAGGTAGAAGGTAGCAGCAACTCATGTTTATGTTGTATCTCCCTCAGAACAGCCCTGGGAGAGAGATAAAAGGATTCTCATTAAGCTCATTCTGCAGATGTAAGGAACATGGGACCAGAAGGGATGTGCAGTAGATAAGTATTGGATTTGGAGGAAGGAAGACTTGGGTTGAAATCCCAAGTCTCTCACCATCTCTATGACCTTGAGTAAGTCACTTAAACTTCCATTGGACTCAGTTGCTTCATACGTAAAATGAAGAGGATTGGACTGAATGAGTT